CCGGGCCGGGGTCGGGGGCCGGGGCGGGCCCGGCGCGCACCACCTCCAGCACGGCGCTGAGAGCCACGTTGCGGCGCAGCTCGGCGCCGTCGGGGAAGGGCCCCCGGCACTCGGGACACGCTTTCTCGCAGCGGCCCCACCAGTCCCGGAGGCAGGCCCCGCAGAAGTTGTGGCCGCAGGGCAGCGTCACCGGGTCCTGGTAGAGCCCCAGGCAGATGGCGCAGTTCAGCTTGTCCTCCAGCAGCTGCGCGGCCATGGCGGAGGCGGGAGAGAGGGCAGGCCCCGGACGCTTAAAGGGACCGCGCGGGCCGACATCGCCCGGGCGTGGCTGCAGCGGGGAGGAGCGAGGACCCCACCCAGGAAGGCGAACTCCGGGCTGCGGCCGGGCCCTTCCGGCGCCCCCGCGGCCAGCCGCCGCACCCAGAGCTCGCCCGTCCACACCAGCCGCCCGCGAGGCCCACTGCACCCCTGTCCACCTCCACCAGGTCCGCTGGAAGGCTCCGCGTTCCCCGATTTGCGTCTCTCTCTCTAGGCTCTTTCCTTACCCGGCTGGGAGCTAGGATCCGGCTCTCTCGGGTCCCACCATGGTAGCTCCAGCTGGCTTCCCTAGACCCTCAACAGCCCAGCTCCTGTGCAGGGATCTGGCCCCAGCCGCTACAGACCAGAGGCTTGGGAACCCCACCAGGCCTCTGGGCTCATCTGAAAATCAATAGAGCTAACAGCGTAGACCTCCCACTTGGGCTATTTAATAGTGCACGTGGGAGGGACTGGAGAAAAAGAGTCCACGGCAGACAGCTGGCGCTCAATAAATGCTCCCTCCTGATACGACGTGCTCTGCTGTATTTTTTCCTGGAGCCAGATTTCGGGCATTTGCCAGATTGGGGTGTCTCCCCATTCTGGACTACGCCTGATTTTGTTTCTTTATAAACAGTGAAATGGAAATTTCTGGTCACCAAGAGACAGACCAGTCAACAGTGTTTTTTTCCAAACGCCCCTTTATTGGATACTCCAACCAAACTTCAGCTGCAATCAGCATTCCCTCTGTGCTGGCCCACTACTGGGGAGAGTTCTTTCTTTGAGTTCCAAGTTGTTCTGGAATCCCAAGTTTTTGAGAGTGAACCAAATGTTTCCCCTTGGGTCACTCTCAAAAAGGGGTCCTGACCACTTACCCACTGCCTCCCCGTGCAGTGTGTGTCCCAGGAGAGTTAACTCATTTCTAACCAAGCTGGCCTGATTTTGAGGCAGAAAGCACCCTCACTGCAGTGCAGATTGCATCCTCTGGGTAGTGATACATGAAGTTTGTCTTTCTGGAAAAGGCATACACATCGCCCCTTGACGTGCTACTACCAGCCTTCTCCTTTAGGGAGGGGGAAAACACCTAACTATCCAGCGAGGGTCCTGGGGCTTTCTGGCCTATAGCAGGAAGTGTACTAGATGTCTCTTGAGACAGTTGTCACCCCACCTGACAGGGTTTCTTATCCCAAGCATTCTGGTGGAGCCAGGAGCCTGCCACCGCACAGAGCACCAGGCAGAGGGGCCAATGCTCAGGGCTGGCAGATCTTCAAGGGGCTTGTGGGACTGGCCTAGGTCCACTGCTTGCTTTCTTCAGTGGCTGTCTTCTTCAGCCACGGGGATCAGAGGGCCCCTGACACCCTCAGGAGGCAGAGGTGAGGTGTCACCTCCTGGGGCAGGAGGGAGCCCTCTTCCCACCCATGAAGCAATACAGCTCCAGCAGGGGGACTCTGGCTGCTCCTGGAACACACACCCAGACCAGCTACAGCCAAAGTCATCTTTATTCACATCCCCCACCCCTGTCACTGGAAAGTCCCCTTCACTCCAAGCCCTGCGCTGGATGGGAGGGGTCCAATGAGGGGCTGCTTCGGGTGGGGCCCAGAAACCCCAGCTTGGCCCTCTGGAGCCGTCTTTACTGTTCCTCCGAGGTGGGTGCACTCTGGCCCCTCAGTAGATGCCATAGGTGGGCTCATGACTGTCCCTGTACCGGTCCAGGTAGCGCAGGGGCTGCCGGTGCGGGAAGCGCTTCTGCTTGGGGTGGTAAGGGGGCGGCCGCACAAACTCAAACACGGGCTCCCGCATGTCTGCAAGAGTGAGGGGCGGGGGGTGGACTCCTGCTGGCCCGAGCCTTTCCTCCCTTGTCTGTGAGGCGGGCCCAGCCCGCGACTGCCCACCTGAGGAGCGACACGCCTAATGGTGGCCCTCTTAACAGAGCTCCACCCTGGCAAGCCCAAGCCCCTGCCCCCCAGCCTCGCTCTGCCCTTACCCAGAAGCTGGTGAAAGATATGGGTGACCGACTCATCCCAGCGGCACTGGAAGAAGGCCAGGCCAGCTGGAGTCATGGCTTCTTGGTGTTTCTTGTAGAAATCAAAAGTGTGGAAGGTTCGCTGGGCCAGCTGGTAGCTGTGAGAACACCGAGAACTTGTGGGGGCAGGGAGAGGGGCGCCAGAGCCCCCACCCCCTCCAGCCCACAGGCGATCCTGAGAAGCCCCTTAGGTTCTGCCCAGCATACTGCTCTTCTGCCAGTCTCAAGGCCTAGGTCAGGTGGAGAACTGGGCAAGAGCGACCATTTGGGGGGGGCTGGACTGAGGCCTGGGCTACGTGTGGGGGGGTGGAGGTTACCAGGGTGAGGGGCGGGCATCCTCGGAGAAGTCAACTGGCTTGTCCTGCTTGAAGAGCAGGAAGGCAAAGCGGTGGAAGCCGGAGCCTCGGGCGGGGAAGGGGGGTAGGTAGGGACACGTCTCCTGTCCTTCAGCCACTCTGTTGCCTGGGATGTTGGTTCTGGTAGGAGGAAAGTATACATTCACTGTCACTAGAGGGAGGCGACAGGAGTGTCCCCCCATGTACACCTAGAGGCTGATAAATTCCCTGGGAGGCTAGACCCTGAATGATTTCTATCATATGATAAAGTAGGAGGCCGAGCTCTACCTCCTGGAGCAGGAGGACTCACAGTGAGGCTGTGGACAGGTTTCCTGAGACTGTCAGGATGACAGCAAGGCCCGGTGACTAGGCCCTGGGGTCGCCACAGTCATTCAGGCCAGAAAGCCATGTCATTTGAGGGCTGCTTCTCTTTCCGTTTCTGGAATGCTCTTGAGTGAGTCTTGTCAAAGAGCGTTTGCCCAGCCTGGCACTGTACCTGCCCCGAGCTCCCCAGAGGGTCCTACTGCACAGGTTGTAACTGCAGTTGAATAAAAACAAAAGAACCAAGGGCCGGCTCGTGGCTCACTCAGGAGAGTGCGGTGCTGATGACACCAAGGCCGCGGGTTCGGATCCCATATAGGGATGGCCGGTTAGCTCACTGGGTGAGCGTGGTGCTGACAACACCAAGTCAAGGGTTAAGATCCCCTTACCGGTCATCTTTTAAGAAAAACAAACAAACAAACAAACCCAACAGAACCAGCCTCCCAGGCACTGGCCCCAATTGCCCAGAAGTCCCAAAGCTGGGGTCTGATCATTGCCCCCTGGCCTGGTACTCAGAACCAAAAGCCACTGAGAAAACAAAAGGCAGCTCAGCCTGGGGGTTATGGGGACTGTCCAGGGAGGGAACATCCAGTGATCACTTGGAGAGATGTCACAGCTGCCCAAGGCCTCATCTCAGCTGCCCAAAGCCTCTCAGGATCCTTTTCCCATTTGACTGTCACAGTGTCCCTCAGGGTGGGGAACCAACAGAACCAGCCTCCCAGGCACTGGCCCCAATTGCCCAGAAGTCCCAAAGCTGGGGTCTGATCATTGCCCCCTGGCCTGGTACTCAGAACCAAAAGCCACTGAGAAAACAAAAGGCAGCTCAGCCTGGGGGTTATGGGGACTGTCCAGGGAGGGAACATCCAGTGATCACTTGGAGAGATGTCACAGCTGCCCAAGGCCTCATCTCAGCTGCCCAAAGCCTCTCAGGATCCTTTTCCCATTTGACTGTCACAGTGTCCCTCAGGGTGGGGAAGGTATGTGGTGGCACCATCCCAGTTTTACAGGTGAGTAAATGAGTTCAGAGAGATGAAGAGGCTGTGAGGACTGGCCAAGGCCCCACTGCTTGCTTCTTTTTCTGTACCTTTCTTGGTACACACCTAGGCATCAGGAGGCAGAGGTGAGGGGTCTCCTCCTGTGGTGGGAGGTTAATTCAAAAGCCCATTGTTAAGCCATGGTGGAGCCAAGACTGAGATTCTGGTGCAGCTCTCTGCAGGCTCGCAGGGCCTCCTCACACACCTCTGACCCACTCCCCCCGAGATACTCACACCAGCCAGTGGATGTACTCGGCATCTGGCTCCAGCAAGTGTCCATCTGCACACAAACACACCCCGCTGACCACAGGCCCTGCCGTCCCCTCCCTTAGGAGGAGCGGGGGCTGGAGTTCTCCACTGGCTCTCCCTCCCCCAATCCTTCAGGGCCCTGGCTCAAGGGAAGTAAGGAAGGCAGGAAGCCTGGTGAGTCCCAAACACCTACCCAAGTTGGTGAGCAGCAGGGTCCACAGGGAGCCCTCATCTGCCTCATAAGTCACCTCTGGGGCCTGGGCAGCCTGGCAGGGAGAGAACAGGGGAACTGTCAACCACCACCAGGGACAGACAAGATGCTGCAAACAGAATTTCTTTCTGGAGGCCTGGAGCCCGAGGGAGCCTCGGAGAAGGGAGAGCCCACCCTGATTCAAATGCCCTTGACAGCCCCTCACAGGGGCAGATAGGCAAAGACATGCTCATAGAAGGAACAGGAACCCTGAAGAGCTGCCTGTCTGGAGAGTTGAACCACGAAAAGGACCACATGTCAAGAGACGGGCTGGGAAGACACTCCAAAGATAGTGGGCCAGCCACGGGAATGTGCAAAGATGGAGCTTTTTCCCCCTTTGTTTTGTATTATTTTCTTTGTAATCTGTCATGGTGTTGTTTCCCAGGAAATCAAAAATAGAGAACACCAAAACCCCAAACCCAGGAGCTGTCTGAGGTGCTGCGATGGGCTATGTCTGTGTGCACATGGGGCACGGAGGGCACAAGCAAGCAATTACCTCTGTCGGAGTCACCTCATTGCCATGGTACACGGGCATCAGGTCCTCCTCACCCACAGCGTAGGCCACATGCAGGGGGACCCGGGGCACAAAGGTGGCCCCGTGGAACAGGTCTCGGTAGAGGCCGTAGTACTCAGCCAGACGCTGCTTGTGGTAGGGGCCACAGGTGTTCTCCCACTCGGCCCGCACGGCCTCCAGCGGGATGCTGGCTGGGAAGGAACAATGCCTGTTGAGATGCAGGGCGGGGGCAGAGCCACACCCAGGGCGCTCTCCCCTGGGAGGGCTTACCTGTGCGGAGGCGGGCAGCCCGCTCCTCTTCCACATTGGCCCGCAGCTCCCGGAGGAACTGTTTTCGTTCCAGTAGCTGTTGTGTCCGGCAGATCTTGGGTGGAGGCAGCCCAATGTCAATCTTGTTTTTGGGATCTGGATAGGGAAGACATGTTGGAAGAAGCAGGCCCAAGTCTTCCTGGCTAAACCGCTTGTCCCTACCTAGTCCTCTCACTCTGCTATCCAATCTTTCTTTCTGAGTCACAAAACCAAAACATCCAGTGCACTCTGCTTCCCAGACCTGAGCATGGTCCAGTTTCTGATCCCCAAACCAGTCTTACACTGTCTTGTCTAAGTCATGGGAAATCAAAGCAGGTGGTCACCCCAATCATAGTTGGGATCACCTCCAAGCATTCCCAGCTGGCCATGGGCACACACCCGTGTTCTGGGTGGAATGAATAGCTAAAGCTAGAAGGGCTTAAAGAAGTGTTTCTCACTCAGTAATGGACAGAGAAACCATACAAATCACCCAGGAAATTTGCTAAAATTCAGATGTTGATTGAGCAGGTCAGGGAGAGGCCTGAGATTCTGCAATTCTACAAGTTCCTAGGTAATGTCTGTGCTGCTGGTCCCAGAAAATGCAGTAGCAAGGCCCTAGAAAACTGTCAATCCAACACCTTCCTCCATGTACATCAGACAACAACACTAATGACTAACATGTATTGAATCCTCATCAGGGATGGCACTGGTCTAAGAGTTTCAATGGACTGTATCCTTCAATTTTGTGACATTAGTCTAAGAATTTAGGCATTAGTCTAAGAATTTCAATGGACTGTATCCTTCAATTTTGTGACAAAGACACAACTGTTTTATTTTACAGTTGAAGAAACTGAAACTCAGGTACGTCACCCATAAGTTTAGCTGAGATTTAAATCGGGTTATTTAGATTCCATGCTTGTGCCTTTAACCATCATAAAAACTGCCTCTATGAATGCTTTCCAAAAGGGTGTACTCTGTAAGTTTCTCAAAGATTGAGTCCCTGAGTCACCTTGCCCAGGACTTTAACTTCATTCAGCAATGTATTGCACACCTACGTGCCAGGCACTGTGTGGGTGCAAGGATCCAGTGGTGGGCAAGACAGGCAGGATCCCTGCTTGCAGGGCGCTCACAGTCTGGGGGAGGCAGCGAGAGAGTACAAGGTGGCCTGGGCTACATTCAGAGTATTTTAGGAGCACAGAGGGGTGCCCCAACCCGGAATGGGAGTGGGGATCAGGGAAGGATTTAAGTAGATATTTTAGGGGCTGAAACTCTAATAGTGGGGGGAGGGAAAAGTAGGGGGAGCAAAGGGGGCGAAAACTCCTGGTGGGGCTGCAGGACCGCCAGAGCCCACGGGGGTGCAGGCAGGCCCTGCGCTGCCCCCGGCGAACACGGGGGCGCCGACGACCTCGTGCAGTGCCCGGGGGAAATGCCAGCGGGCCCCCTCGAGTTCCGAGGCCGGTGCCCTTCGCCCTGCCCCGGTCGCCCCGCACCTGTCTCCTCCCCGAAATGCTCCCGGTAGGTTCGCCACCAGTGTGGGGCCCGCGCCTCCTGCTCCGCCCGGCGCCGGTAGCGGTCGAAGCTCCGGTACTTTTCCAGCCGCTCCAGGTTGCTCACGTCGATGTCCGCGTTGGGCATCGGCCCCAGCGGGGCTCTGCGGCGGCTCAGGGCAGCTGTGGGCAGAGAGCGGGACGTGAGGCCGGCTCGGCCCCAGCCCCAGGGCTCGGTCTATGGGGCCCTCCGAGGGCTCCCCCGCCGGGCCCCTCACCCGAGGTGCTGAAGCCCCGCCACCGCCGGCTTCCGTACAGCGCCGCTC